CAAAATATACTAACAAACTGAATCCAACAGAACATCAAAAAGATAATACAACATAAAATTGAGTGGGTTTTATACCAAGGACAGAATGATGGTTCAACATATGCAAATCAATAAATTTGATACATCACATACACAGAATCAAGAACAAAACCATATGATCAGCTCAAAAGATGTAGACAAAGCATTTGATAAAATTCAGCATATCTTCATGATAAAATCCCTCAACAAATTAGACATAAAAGGAACAAACCTCAAGATAATAAAGGCCATACATGACATACTCAAAGCTTGCATACTGAATGGGGAAAAACTGAAAGCATTTCCTCTAAGGACTGGAACAAGACAAGGATGCCCACTTTCACCACTCTTATTCAACGTAGTACCGTAAGTCCTAGCCAGAGCAATGAGGCAAGAGAAAGAAATAACAGGCATCCAAATTGGAGAAGAGGAAGCCAATTTTTCCCTGTTTGTTGATGATATGACCCTATATCAAGAAAAACCTAGACTCCATCAAAAAACTCTGAATGTTTCAGGATACAAAATCAATGTACAAAAATCAGTGGTGTTTCCATATACCAATAACAATCTAGCTGAGAAAGAAATCAAGAAGGCAATCTCATTTACAATAGCAAACACACACACGCACACACACACACAAACACCTAGGAATAAGTTTAACTAAGGAGGTGAAAGATTTCTACAAGGAAAACTACAAAACACTGATGAAAGAAATTGAAGATGACACAAATGGAAAAACATCACATGCTTATAGATCAGATTAATATCATTAAAATGATCATACTGCCCAAAGAAATCTACAGATTCAATGCAATCCCTATGAAAATACCAAGATCATTTTCATAGAATTAGAAAAAACAATCCTAAAATTTATATGGAACCAAAAAAGAACCCAAACAGCCAAAGCAATCCTAAGCAAAAAGAACAAAGCTGGAGGCATCACATTACCTGACTTGAAATTATATTACAAGGCTACAGTAACCCAAACAGCATTATACTGGTATAAAAATAGAGGCATAGATCAATGGAATAGAATAGAGAACTCAGAAATAAAGCCACATATATATTTACAGTCAGTGGATCTTTGACAAAGCCAACAAGAACACCCATTGAGTAAAGGACACCCTCTTCTATAAAAAGTGCTGGGAAAATTGGATAGCCATACGCAGAAGGATGAAACTGGACCTCTATCTCTCACCATATGCAAAAATCAACTCAAGATGGATTAAAGACTTAAATATAAGACCCAAAACTATGAAAATACTAGATTAAAACCCAGGGAAAACTTTTCTGCACATTGGTCTAGGCAAAGAATTTATAACTATGATCTCAAAAGCATAGGCAATAAAAATAGAAATAGACAAATGGGACTTAATCAAACTAAAAAGCTTCTGCACAGCAAAAGAAATGCCCAACAGAGTGAAAAGACAACCTGTTGAATGGAAGAAAATACTTGCAAACTATTCATCCAACAGGGGACTAATATTCAGAATACACAAGGAACTCAAACAACTCAACAACAACAAAAAACCCCCCAAAATCCCATTAAAAAGTGGGCAAAGGAAATGAATACATTTTTCAAAAGAAAATATAGAAATAGCCAATAGGTATATGAAAAAATGCTCAACATCACTAATCATCAGAGAAATACAAATCAAAACCACAGAGATATCCCAGTCAGAATGGCTGTTATTAAAATGACAAAAATCAATAGATGTTGGTAAGGATGTGCAGAAAAGCAAACTCTTATACACTGTTGGTGGGAATGTAAATTAGTACAGCCTCTATGGAAAACAGTACGGAGATTTCTCAAAGAATTAAAAATAGAACTACCATTCAATCCAGCAATCCCATTGCTAGCTATCTACCCAAAGGAAAAGAAATCAATATATCCAAAAGATAACCTGTGCTTGTATGTTTATCACAGCAGTATTCACAATAGCAAAGACATGGAATCAACCTGTGTGTTCATCAATAGATGAGTGGATAAAGAAAATGTAGTAGATATACACAATGGAATACTATTCAGCCATAAAAGAGAATTAAATCATATCTTTTGCAGCAACACCAATGGGACTGGAGGTCATATCTTAAGTGAAATAAGCCTGGAACAAAAAGACAAATACCGCATATTCTCACTCATAAGTGGGTGCTAAGAAATGTGTTCACATGGACACAGAGAGTGGAGTGACAACAGAGACTCAGCGAAGGAATGGAAGGGGGAGGATGATGAGAAATTGGTTAATAGGTACAGTGTACATTATCTGGGTGAAGGATACCTAAAAGCCCTGACCTGATCACTAAGCTATCTATGCAAGTAACAAAATATCACATGTACCCCATAAATTTGTATAAATAAAAAGGAAAAAAAAAAAGAATTGGGAATAGTTAATTATGTTCACCAATGGAATGTTATATAGATAATAAAAATTACAGGGTTTATACAATTTTAGAAAAAGAAAATATCTCTGAATATAAATACACAGACATATATAAATTCTACATATATATTCCATATCTACATTATTCTAAAATATGAGATGTTGTGGTAAATATGGTTCTGACTGCTACTAGGTTGATTTGTAGCAAAACACTATAATATGTCCTTATAATGAATTAACTAGTAATAGCTTTAAAAAATGAGTAAGTATTGACTCTTATAAATAATGGATATAAATGTCCTATATAAACAAGCCCAACTTTACTGAGTTTAGTTTCTTATAATCTTTTATATGCTCTAACTTTAAGTTATTGCTCCCAGCCCCTTATCTCATTTTATAAAATTAAAATCTTCCAGTAAAAAGGAAAAAAAAATCTAATACTGTCAAAAAAGAAGGCCATAAAAAGTAAAAGTCAAAATCCTACTCTTTAAAACAAAAATAATGAAGGCTACAAACTTAAACTTGGAAATGATGAAAATTATAAAAGTTAAAATTCTCATAGCAACATTAACTTACTCTTGAATACAGAGCTTGGGTGTTTTTTTTTTTTTTAACTATCTGAGAATTTTATTGCATTTAAATCAAGAAACAATCATTAGGCTTTTCTAACACAGAATATCTTCAATGAGTAAAAATTATTTTGGAGACATTTACAATTTTCACTTTCTGATACAAATGCTCAAATTTGCAACCTTAACGTTACATGTACTCAGATTTACACAGTCATATTATATGAGCAAAACATATTAATTTTCCTAGTCTACTACATTACCTAAAGAGCAACTTTCCTGTACCTTGTTTGTCTCTTCTTGCCTTTCAACTGACCGGTGGTGTGGCTCTGAACTCTGGCATCAGACAAGTTGATTTGAAAAGTTAATTTAGGATATTTTCAAAATGCCAATAAAATTGGACTAAATTTTTAATTTACATATAGTATACTTATTGCTAATCTATGATAAAGAAAAAATAATTTTAGGTACTTGTTGGGATTTCACTTTAATTTTAATGTCAGAATAGCGACATTTGCAATCACAGTGGTTTCACTGGCTTCTTGGATATGGAAGCGATGGAGAAGGCGGGAGAGTGAGGTTGAGGGGGTGGTAGCCAGACAATGCTGAGTCCCACTTGAGGCATCATCACCAGACCTGATGGCGATTGTACTGAATATCATTCTTTGCTAGATATGGAAGGCATGGCGGGGGGATGGGAGTAAAGGGAAATCCTGGTAGTGAGGATGCCCATTTGTCAAAGACACCTAATACTACTCCTCCAGAGCTGTGTGAATACTGCAGGTCACAAACTGTGCTCAGGCATTCATGGGGAGCAACCAAATTAGCAGTGTCATCTTCAGGGACAAGACACATGATGATTAGAAGACTCAACAAAAGTAGAATATGCATCAACATTCAAGATGCTCACTGTAGCTACCACATGAATGCCATTCTGCTTTAGATGTCTTAATTATGTTGTATGGACTTACGTGGCATAAACTTTAAACATTTCATTGAGAAACAACTAACATTTATGAACACAAACTGAAGATAGGTAGATTTTGGTTAAGTATTTTAATTATTTATCTAATAAGCATTAATTAAAAGGAGACAGAGAATACATAACAGAATCAAACTTAATTATCAGTCACTAAGAACTAAAATTCAGAAATAAAGGTAAAATTTCTTTGAAAGTATTACAAAAGTCATATGGGAAATTATTTGACTATAACAATTTAGGTTTTGCATTAATTTTTAGAAACACATACAGTAAAGTTCACCTAAAGCAAAGCAGAAACACTGTTTTTTTAATTTGTAACTTTGCTTTATTTCATAAATAAAAAGTTTTTTTTAAGTGGGAGACTAGTATAAATCAGATTATAGGGAACAAGTTCCAGGCACTATTAACAGCATCTATCTCTCTACATGTCAAAAATAAGAATTTATGCAGAAACCTGTTACATGAAAATTGGCAGAAGTGAATTCCATGCTTACTAAGAACTGATTTTAAAAGTAGTAAAAGCCTAAACTGTAAAACTCAATGTTTTATTATATTGGTTTTAGCTAGAAATGTTTTAAAGTCATGCACTGGAGGTCACTGCTCTTTAAATTAACAAAAGTGACTGATTTTGAATTTCAATTCCTGTCTACTTAGGGGCACCCATGTTTATAACCAGTGCAAAACCAAGAGCAAGTGACAAACAGGTCTCTGTAAGAGAGCTCTATCACAGAAACAACAATTAAACATACTTTTCTATTACTTAAAATGGAGTTTCAAACAGTGCCCCTTTTACTTAGAATAAACAAATCTACACATTCTAACACTTAAAGCCATTTTCTTTTAAATTAGTTAATAATCCAAACTTTTCATTGGTTCATATGCCTTCTACCCTCCTTAATCACCCTCAAATCATTCCAACTATATTTTCTCATTTTGGGGGTTATAAATACATTTCTTTGGTCCTAAACTGGAAAAGCCAAATAAAAAGCATTTTCCAAGTTACGTATCTGAAATTCTTGGCATAGGCTAACAAAAATAAGATTGACTTACCCACAAATTTCATATAAACTAGTCCAAGTAATTGGATTAGAGCAAAGATAACCAAACCTGCAATCAGAAGAGGGCCATGCATTGGTATACATGCTGTAAAACAAATAAAATTTTGTATTAGAAATAGGCAAGAAATAACTAAACTTTTTAAAGAAATCAACAATAATAGTAATAATAAAAAGTTTCAAGGAGAGTAATTATATTTCTAATAATCAAAAACCAAAAATTATCTACATATGTTTATTATTATTAATTCAGCCAGTGAAATGACTCCAAATTATTATAAGAAAAAAGCCCACCTTTGCATAGCACATAACTTAGCATACCAAGACTAATGAGAAATAGTGTGTAAAATCTAATGCTCCAACCAATTGGAGCCTGATGATTTCAAAAGTTCTTCCACAAATATAGGCATAGCAGTTTGGCTGCTTGAACAATCAGCCCACAAGCCATATATATAGACATTATGCTCCAAGCAATGTGGAAAGTACTATTCCTTACTGCGGGAAAACTTAGTTTAAAAAGAAAAGCTCACAACACTAAATGTTGTCAAGTAGGTGGAGAAACAGAAACTCTCATTTATTGGTAATGGTAACACAGAAATGGTATAGCCATTTTGATACAGAGAGTTTGACATACTGTAATAGCACTCCTTGGTATTTATCAAATGGAATTGAAAACTTATATCCACACAAAAATATGCACATGGATGTTTATAGCATCTTTATTTACAGTCACAAAAAACTGAAAGCAATCAAGATGTCCCTCAATAGGTGAATGCATAACCAAACTGTGGCACATCCACACAACGGAATATTACTCAGCTTTAAAAAATAATGAGCTATCAAGCTATGATAAGACATGGAGGAAACTTAGATGCCTATTTCTAAGGGAAAGAAGCCAGTCTGAAAAGCCTACATGCTGTAGGACTTCAACTATAAGATATTCTGGAAAATGCAAAATTATGGACACAGTAAAAAGATCAGTGTTGCCAGGGGTTTGGGGAGAGAGAGGAATGAATAGGGGAGCACAGGCAATTTTTAGGGCAGTGAAACTATTCCGTATGATACTACAATGGTAGACACATGTCACCATACGTTTTTCAAAGCCCATAGAACATACGACACCATAAGTGAACCCTAATGTGAACTATGAACTTTGGGCAATAATGAGGTTGTCAGTGTTGGTTCGTCACTTGTAACAAATGTGCTACTCTGGTGGGGGATCCTGAGAGAGGCTGTGGCTGTGGGGTGTATGGAGGGGGTGGGGGTATATGGGAATTCTCTGTACTTTCCACGCAAATTTTCTGTGAACCTAAAACTGCTCTAAAGAAATAAAGTCTTTATATTAAAAGAAAGATAAAGAAAGAACAAGGAAAAGAAAGAAGAGCTCTGTCCAACAGTAATCCAAATCAGGGTTACAGAAGGATGTGACTCTTACCCGAAATACAGAGACTCAATCCAACCACAGCGAGTACATAGGCCAGGAGCTGAATAACCAATATGGCAATGACGAAGGAGGGAATGCCAATGGCTGGGGGAAGGAAAAGGATTAAACAGAAGTATGTTCAGAGGATTTAAGAAGCAATCACTCCTATTTACACTTGGTGTAATCAGGAATATCCTATGACTAAAGACCAACTCTGGAGTTCCTTGTCCGATGGTAGATGCTTTTCCAGTGACCTAACCCTTCCACACAAGTAGTCAAATCCAAATTCACACATTCGGCAGCCTTCTATTTTCACAGTCAGCTAAGCTGGACTGGCAGTTTTTACCCCAACTCTTAGAACAATGCTGCTTTTACCACACTTGTACATTTTGCAATTGGGATGGCTATTATGCTTGGCTTCTTCACATGCACACAGAATTGCTTTGGTGGAGAGAATCATTATGCAAACATGTGATTGGAAACATCAGACTCTATCTTGTGCATCCAGAAGATCTGCAATTTTATAACAAATTAATACCTTTCTGATGTATGGTAAGTAGACTCTAAGATCAAGTGTTAAATGTAACTAACATATGTTAGTGATTTACTTTCAAAATGCAGTAAAAATCATACTAATTATAGTATGCATATCTATACCATCTTTTAAAACTAAAGTGTCAAGGTTTGCTAATAACTAAAAAAAATATGTTTCTACTATTTGTGATTTATAACCCCATTTTATAGAACTAGTCTTTTTAATGGAGAGGCTAAGCAAAAGAAGAAAAAGGCTGTATTTACCTTCTACTTATAAATTCAAAAAGACTAAAATTAGAATATGAAGATAATTATTAAGATATTATATAGAATAATTTAAAATTATGCTGATCAGTATAAAATACATATGAAAATCACTTTTTTCAAAATAATTGAATGCCTTGAAGACCTTGGACAATGTTAAAATTAATCAGAATGGAAAAATGTCACTAAGAATAGCATGGAAAATCTTTCAATAAACCAGTATTTATTGAGTTATAACAAGAAATCCATATAAGACTATTTACACCAAAAGTGACATTTTTAAATGAAAATTGTAGCCCAAATCATGCAGTAATAACAAATACTCACTTGTTTTAAACACATAGTAGTGAAGTAATAATAATAACCCTGTAGTAGTTACAATTAAACCAAGTCCAGTAGAATTCTTTACTGAATATTCACCTGTTAATAAACAAAAATATTTAAAATATTTTCCTACATACTTTCTACTCTTCAGGAAGCTAAAGTACTTAATTTATTAAATGTATTAATCTCGATAATACTCTTATAAACTAAAAGGTTTAAAAATATATGTTTCCCCCAAAGCTTCAGACAAAATAAGTGATTATTTTTCAATTATTTAAGACTGAACTTAAGACACACAAGTCTCAACATGTTGAAAGCTTGGATTGGCTTTACCTCTTCCCTAACTATCTTACACAATTCCAGATAAGGAACTTTGTAGTCATCTTCTACCATTCCTTTCATTTGCCATATTCAGTATGTCCCAAAGTCAAATTAATTGTTCTTTCAAATTGTCTTCTGAATCCACCTCCTTCCACCCCATGACCTCACTAACTCCAGAGGCAAACAGAGCTGCCAAATTTATGTCCCTACATGTTACACCTGTACTGCATGCTTCTCTAAAAACAACAGTGGTGTACTACAGCCTACCACTTTGAGTCCAGGGCTTTCTTTGCTTTTCTTTTCATGTGCTATACACCCTTATTTCCCAGCCCCACTCCCCTTCTCCAAATGCAACTGCCATTTTGGGCAAATCTAGTTCCATTCCATGTCCTCGTACACTGAAGTTTGCCTCTGTAGTGGGTGGAATGGTGGCCTTAAAGACATGTCCATCTCCTCATCCCTAGAACCTGTGAATATTACCTTATATGGCAAAAGAGTATTGTATTACATGGCAAAAGATGCGATTAAGTTAAAGACCTTGAAAAGGAGGAGCTTATCCTGGATTACATGGGTGGGCCCTAACTGAGAGGCAGAGGGAGACTGGACAAAAAAAAAAAAAAAAAACTAAAACAAAACAAAACACAAAACAACAAAAACAACCACACAGAGGTGAAGACAAGGGTAGAGGAGAAGGCAACGTGACCACAGAGGCAGATATTGGAGTTATGCTGCCACAGACTAAAGAATGCCAAGGACCTTCAGTCCTCAGCAAATACAAAAGCTAGAACAAGCAAGGAATGAATTCTACCCCAGAGGCTCGAGAGGGAGTGTGGCCCTGATGACACCCTAATTTCGGACTTACAGCTTCCAGAGCAGCAAGAGAATTTCTGTTGTTTTAAGCCACCTAGTTTGTGGTAATTTGTTCCAGCAGCCCTAGGAAACTAATACCCTCCCCCTTGCAACACACTCATCTACATCCTATGTTCCCTCCTAGCAACTGTACATCTTACCTGGGACGAAAAGAATGGCTCCAACAATGATAACTGCAGTGGTCACCAGTCCAGCAACAAGTACAGCAATGGTTTTCTCATCCATGTGACTGGATTTATATTTAAGTGCTTAAAAAAAAAAACCACAAAGAATTACATTAACTCAATCAGAAGTGAATCCATTTGGGTAACTTATAAGGTACAGAGACAAACTGGCACACTTATTATAATTGAGTAACCTCTGAGGAACAACTTTATACCATCAAGTCACTTCACATCTTTTTCACAAGCAAATGGATGGGGTCATGACAGTATAAACATGGATGCTGAATGTACAGGTGATGCCTTTGTCCCTTACACTTTAAAGAATGAAGTTCTATGTATCAGGCTTTCTCAGTTGAGGCATTATTAACATTTTGAGCTAGATCAGTCTTTGTGTGGGGGGCTGCTCTGTGCATTACAGAATGTTTAGCAGCATCCTTGCCCTCTCCATACCGGATGCCAGTGACAGCCTCCAGTTACGTCAATCAAACTGTCTCCGGGCAATGCCAATGTCCCCTGACGAGCAAAATCACCCCAGAATGAAAATACAACACTGAGGTACATCATGCTGATGGGAAATAACTGGTTATTTAACAATATCAAGAACAAGAGAACTTTGTTCCACCTTACATAAAATTAGTAAACCATTTGGAAATCTGGATATTTTGTTTTGAGAAAGAGGACAGAAAAAACATTGGCCAAAGCACACCCTTTTGAAATCCTAAGGAAGAAAAAAGCTTAAATTGTTCAACTAAAATATTTTAATAAAAATAAACTACAGAATTCATCATACATATTATTGTTCCTGATGCTAGCTCTATTGTCAAATATCTAGTACCTTTCCTGAAAGAATAATGTAATGGATAAGCTTAAAAATATTATTTCTTTTACTACATATTGACCTTTTTGTTTTGGTTAATACTGAAATTAATTTTTATCAAGAAAGTTGTTAAAGGTAACCTAAAAGCAAATTGAATAACAGAGAGAAACAGAGTGTGTGACTGAAATTTTGCTGTATTCCGTCTACACATGGAATTCTCCACACCAGTAATCAATGGGCAACTGTTGTGAGAGGGGAAATATTTTTAAATGTTATATTTAGCATTTAATTTTCCTCTGCTAAAATTACAAATTAAATATAGTAAAAACAACAAATAAGCCCCTAAATGACCATGATAAAATCTATGTTTAAGGTATACTCTAGGCAACAGAAGAGTTTTTGAATCTCTACCTACCCACATTTTAGATTATAACCTCAATTTTAGTCTAGAGGGAGAAGGAGGCCTAAGCAATAAATAACCAGTCCTAAAGCTGAAAAACTGAAATTCACATTAAATAGAAAAGAGAAATCCATAGTAATCAGAAAACATCATATGGCAAGTTCCCCAATTTTTATTTGATCTGTTACCTCCACCCAGCCTTGGAGCTTATGTGACCCCTAGTCAGTCATATCCGTGCCTTGTTATAAGGCACAGAGTTTTTACAGCTTCCCTGTTTTCTAGGCTCAAATACTAGGCAGAATGAAATTGAGTGCATGGGTCACAAAAGGCATAGACACAGAAAAAGAAATTTTCTCTAGACATACGTCATGTTTTCCATTTAAACTCTATGTATATTGTTATCTAAACAGAACTTGAAAGTTCTGCAAGGGGTTATAAAATTGAAGTTCTGTCAAATGCACCTCAAAATCAATCACTCATAAGAGACTTTTTCAGGTTTAATTCAACACATAAAAGAGCTACTAAGATCAAGCAACAAGAATTTGCCTTAGAGTACAGTAAAATTTCATGCAAAAGGCTGACTTATGTTATTCTTAAAAAAAATAAGAGTTCAAATCTCATATAAAATTCCACCTCTTCAGGCTTAGAAGAGCTGCTATAGGAGAAAATAATGCCAATAATAGCAACAAAAATAAAATACCAAAAAATACTACTATAGACAGTGTTCTACCATAGAATGGCTTTTCTCTTGGAGTATAAGTACACTATATGTTGGAGATAGCTTTAGTTCCTGTTCAACTACTACTTATTTTCAAGGCTACCTTAAATTCATCCTTATGTTAAGCAGCCATTTCCAACAAATATACAGGTTGAGCATCTTAAATCTGAAAAAAATCCAAAATCCAGAACACTTCTGTTCCCAAGCATTTTGGATAAAGATACTTAATCTATATTAGTGGGGTCTACTTAAGTAATCGCAGGCAATGAAAAAGTATCTCCACGGTTTTTTTTAGTGAACCTTCTTAAAGAGTTTCTTAAGGCTCATTTCTTTGCTCACATTGGCCACATTTCAGCAAGTGAGGGGTAGGTATCTTGTTGCTAGCCCAGTTGGCAATTTTCTCAGTGTCATTAACAGGCAAGGAATCTTGCAAGGATATAGATGCCATAGAAACCAATAATCTCAAGGACCTTTTACTGGTGAACTTTTATTGTCCTTTAATAAATGGATTTATCCTTATTTATCAAATTTATCAAAACACTAAATGCAACAAAGAAAATAAATTCAAGTAATTCCCCAAATGCTTAGCGTTAAGATAAAAATAATTTAATGTGTCCTTAACAGCAGGCTCTTATCAAACTTCCTGGTGTGATTTTCTGTCTGCTTGGCAAGACAATCTGCCTACTTTTAAAGATCCCCCTTGGCTAAAACTACTGAAATCAATACGCAAAATAAAATAGATGAAGAATAATAATATTCACATTTTTAACAACAAAAAAATATGCCTGACATAGGAATACCAAATATCATGGGAGACAATGTAACATTTTTGTGAACAAATTAGGAATTCTAAAATTTTCCCTTTTATATTTTCCAGAAAAAAATTAGACCTAGCAGACTACTTCTCAGAAATGTGTTGGGTTGATTCATTCATTTGTTCTATGAATATTTACTGTATACCTACAATGTACCAGGCCCTTTTATTAGTTCAAATCACAGAACAAGTGGAAGATTACTTTACTCAACCATAATTGATTGAGCACTATCAATCTATGTGACAATCACTATTCCAAGTCTGACAGTGAACAAAAAAGGCAAACACAAGGCCTGCCTCAAGGCTCTTACATTCTAATAGGTGAGTGTGTGTCTCTGAGGGTTGGGGGCTGTTACTTGCAGATCTTCTTCCCCAGTTAAATAGAAGGTGAGGACCTACTCCAGTCTAAGAAAGCTCCTTTATGTATTTAATCTTTCAAATTCATGCGAGTAAAACAATGATATGTCCCTTTAGCCACCTGAAGAAAAAGCTAATGTTATGAATAGAAAATAAGGTTTTCTGCTCTCTTTGTGACCGATAGAAAGCACATATAAGATAAAATGTAGGTTGGGGTTGATGAAATCAAGTGAAATTACTAAGTCAACTTGGGGATAAAACAAATCTATCATGTTAAGTTTTCAAGACTGGATTTGACATGCCCATATAGGCCCATATAGACTGCAGTCTATCCAACAGAACCCCAAAAGCCAAGATTTCAACACCTGCTCAAAGACATGACATTTAGAGGATCCCTTACCAAATGATCAGTAAGTGATCACAAGAGACAGGGAGGCTTTCCAGTATAATGCATATCAGATTAAGAGTAAATCATAAAGGGAGATCTGTTTGATTTCATTATTATAGTGCTGTTTTCTGATAACTCCAGGAAAGTAATTTTAGAATCTTTTTGGTGTCTGTTGAACTGAACATCAATATTGTTTTCAATGCAGAATAAAGCACATCTGGTAACTTTTTACGTAAAATTATATCAATTTTGAACATTGTTTAAATTACTATTTTTCAAATATTAGCACGTTCATTTAAAACACACACACACACTAAGGCTTTGTGAAAGTGGTGTTGGAAAAAATGAACATTAATGCCAATTATATGCTGGTTACTTACCAGAAGGCAAGTAAAATAATTTCATAATAAACTCCACACACTATCCAATTTGCTCTGATGAAACAATTTTGTACAATGAATACTGACTAGACATCATATGCCCAATCTATAGGAACTAGAAATAAAAGAGCCTAGGCTTTGTGCAGCAAATTCTTTCAATATAAAAGATTAAAGAAGAGGATATCCAACAGACTAACTTCCTTTTCTTGGCTCCAAACTTTTCCTGGTCTCGTGGATGGTTTCACAATTTTGGAGTTTACGAAGGAAGTTGGGATATCTGGAAAGGGTCAAGGGATTAGTAACTACATTTCTATAAAAGAGTAAAATGCTGAGCTATAGTTTTGTTTAGTTCTGCCTACAATAAAACTAGCACATGATCACATTATTTAATAACAGAATGTGATTATGTGGACAGGACCAAGGGAAAGCCCTAGGAGTTCAAGATGACTGAATAGAATTCACAGTAAACTTAATGGCAAAGTCCCATTATTAGGAGCTATCAACCAGGTCATAGAATGATTATTTGTAATAATATTTGTTGCAATGATATCTTTCTTGGATACAAATGACCTAGTTCAAATTAGGATATGTCTTCATTTCTTCAGAATGATTTTTCTAATCAATGAAGAAACTCTCTGTTTCATTACTTCTTTTAAACATGCTTTCATGGCCTAATTATGTTCATTATTAAGCTGGTCCTCAAGTCTGGATTCAAGGACTTAATAGGAATCTCAAGGCTGTTGTGATGGAGAATTTTTTCCCTGAATTTCCTAACAATGATTCCTACAGGAACATCTACCCAAATATCTCTGACCAAAATCTCTGTGGAATAATCTTGAGCAGGGAGGAGAAAGTTAGAAAAGAAAGGGAAAGATGTCTAGAACATATGAATTTGAAATAAATTACAATAGTCTTCACTTTGCACTGTTCACATACGCATGAATTCTAGTAACCATGGTTTAGTTAAATAAGTCTCCCAAACCACAGTTCAAATTTTAATCACCACAATACATTAACTGAGTAACTGCATAAGTACAACTTCACTGCTATCTCTTCAGTCAGCAAATCACTACATAAATAGCAGATGTGCACCATGATCCGTGATCAATTATATCACATCTTTTGAAGACTGTTGGTGACTAATCATTGCACATCTGTTATTCAGATCATGCAAAGACAGTAAAGCATGGAGTTGTGTTACCTCCTTGTA